GGGGGGGGGAAGGAAACAGAGCCAGCAGCACAGACAGCATTTTCCAGGGAGAGCAGCCCCACAGTGAGGGTGAGGAGAGCATGTGAAGCTGGGAGAAGCACAGGGGAAGACAAAGGAGGGCTCCTCGCCGTCACTGTGGCAGTGCCTTCAGGATGGCGTTCACTTCCTCAGCTACGGCCGTCAGTGCAAACTCAAACTGGTCCTGAGGGGTAGGAGAGGGGACATGAGGCTCCCTGCCAGCCCAGCTCAAGGAGCGAGGGGAGCCCCAGTTTTTGGAGTACCTTGGTCTGCACCATGCCAGGCCGCTGGTCCCGGATGTGCTCCAGCGTAGCAGCTATGTCTATCTCCTTCACCCCTGTGGCAGAGGTAGAAGGGTGGTGGGAGGAGGGTCCACAGGCTGAGCACATGGCCCCACATGCCCCTGGACAGGGCAGAAGAGATGCTGCCCTGCACCTACCTTTGGCCATTCGGTTCAGGACCATATCGACAAGGATGTATGTCCCGGTCCTGCCTGCACCGTCACTGCAAGACATGGACACTTGGACGAGGGGGACAAGCTCCAGGAACTGGTCCCAGCCAGGAGGTCTCTGACTTTCTGCCCCCCACCCAGACTGTGCCTCCCTCCATCCCCATTAATACCTGCAGTGCACAATAATAGGGCAGGAGCGACCCCGGTAACACTTGTTCACCTTCCTGCAAGGACAAGAAGGAGAAGGTCAGTGCCCTGCCATGCTGGGGACAAGTCTGTCTAGGTGCCCCTCACTGTGCTGAGCTGGGGTGGGGGAAGGCAGGGGTTATTCCATGATGTGGCCTTGGCGATCCAGTGCATGGCTCCTGGGACCATGGATGGAAAGGGGCTGGGGCAGGGAAAGGAGCCCTGCTCCTCAGGTGCCCAGCCCAGGGAGGGGAGCAGTGGCAGCACCCCTGAAGGAGCAGCGCTGGTCCGGTGGGGCACGAAGCTGGGGGCCAGGTGCCAGCAGGGCTCCCAGCATGCTCCATGCAGCAGGCACGGCTGCCAACGATCACTTTTGTGACTATGCAACTGGAGCCAGATTACTAGCTGCAAATCACAAAAATGACGCCGGCAGCTGCGAGAGAGAGACAGAGACAGACAGAGAGACAGAGAGAGCGTGAGCGGGGCAGAGAGGAGGGCGATGTGCTCGGAGACCCCCACTGCCCTAAGCAGGTTCCATGGCCCCACACAGCCTAGGGACAGTGACAGACCAGCCCCTGGCAGGAGCCCACCACCACCCAGGGATGTTGAGACCCCAGCAGCCACTGCCTGCAAACCTCATGGGAGCAGTCCTCTCCCCAGGCTGACTGGGGACCCATTGCTGGCTGTAGGGCATAGGGAGCAATGGATTACAGCTGTTCAAGGCTGGCTCCAGGGGTTTCTTCTTGCACTCATGGCTGGGGAGGGTGCCAGACCGTGCTGTCCCCCATGCCAGCTCTTTCCCACCCTCCCCATGACGGCTGGAGAGCCCTGGCAACCTCAGCTGGAGGTTTCTTGCCCACCAAGCTCTGCTGAGCTTCATCACAAGCTGGCCGTGCTTGGAGACCCCCACTGCCCTAAGCAGGTTCCATGGCCCCACACAGCCTAGGGACAGTGACAGACCAGCCCCTGGCAGGAGCCCACCACCACCCAGGGATGTTGAGACCCCAGCAGCCACTGCCTGCAAACCTCATGGGAGCAGTCCTCTCCCCAGGCTGACTGGGGACCCATTGCTGGCTGTAGGGCATAGGGAGCAATGGATTACAGCTGTTCAAGGCTGGCTCCAGGGGTTTCTTCTTGCACTCATGGCTGGGGAGGGTGCCAGACCGTGCTGTCCCCCATGCCAGCTCTTTCCCACCCTCCCCATGACGGCTGGAGAGCCCTGGCAACCTCAGCTGGAGGTTTCTTGCCCACCAAGCTCTGCTGAGCTTCATCACAAGCTGGCCAGAACCCGGTTCTTCTGCCTCTCCCCATGCACGGCAGCCCCCTGCCCCCCCGGCCGGCCCATGCCACAGCCCTGACCCTCATCACACCAGCAGCGGTGTCCTTGCCCATCAGTTCCCTGCCCTCGGGACCCCCGCCGGCTCCCCGGGGGCCGGCCCGGCGCCGGGTGGGCGCTCACCTGCGGAAGTCGAGGAGGGGCCGGGTGGTGGCAGGGATGCCCTCGGCCGGCCAGCTGAGGAAGTGGAACTGCGTCAGAGTGCGGGTCTCCTGCGACTGCACATTCTTCAGGTAGAAGCTGCGCACCAGGAAATCCTCGCACCAGATGTGCTCCGACACCAGGTTCACCTGCCCGAGAAAGGCATCCAGTGGGTGTCAGTGCTGGGCAGGGGGGCTGCGTGCGGGGCACGGGGGCTAGAGCATCCTCCTTGCCCGAGGCTACTGGCCACACTTGCCTCGTAAATGTGGTAGAGAGAGGAGCCTTCATCCGGCCAGTAGCGGTCACACTGCTTGACACTGTCTTCAGCCAGCGGGCTCAGCATGACGATGACAGTGCAGCCGTGCTCCCACACCATCTGTGGGCAAGGCACCAGGGCTGTCACTGCTGGGTGACAGCCCAGGCAGGAGGGCAGGCGAACCACTGTGACCCATCTGGTGGGCAGCACCCAGAAGGACCACGATGGGCTGGCACAGCTGGGTGATGCTCACCTGCCAGAAGTCAGCGATAGTGTGGGACAGAGGCCCCTGGGTGGCAATGTATGCTGGCATCCGTGGGTCGTGCTCAATCTGGAGTGAGACATGGGGTGTCAGACTGCACACTCTTTGGCTAGTGGTCAGTGACACCGGGAGAAGCAGGGGGGATACTCCAGGGGTGATGGGAAGGCTGGGAAGAGAGCTTCAGGTGCAGCAGCCAGGAGGGAAATGGATTTTAACCACGTCTGAGCGATGGGGCAGCCACATTGCTCAGACCATGGGGATGTCAGCTCAGCCCAGCTCTAACCCAGGGTGGGAGCCCTGCCTGGGCTGAGCACATAACGGAGCAGGGTGGCAGGGCAGGATCACTCACGATCGGACTGGCGTTGATGAAGTCACTGCGGGAAGGGTTGCTCTCGGGTTTCAGCTTGATCCGCACATGGTCATCTGGGGAAAGAGAGGCCAAGGGATGAGGTGAGAGCCTGTGGAAGCTGGGGGCAAACCTGCACCGCAGCCTGTCATGGCCCAAAGAATCCCCATGCCCCGCACCCCCCTCCTGCTGTGTCCCTGGGGACCAGTCCCTGGGACAGGGCAGCTGGGAAGCTCACAGGGCACACAGTCAGCATTGCGGTTCTTCTTCAGGTTGGCTTCGCTTTGGGCAATGGAGCAGGTGCTGGGCTCAGCCTGGCTGGCACAGAGAGCCTGCCACTCCTTCGCCAGCCGGTCCCGGTTGCGGAGGTGGTCCTCCATATAGGCCTGGGGCAGAGACCGGGGTCAGCTGGGCAGCTAGGGGCAGGGACACGGGGGGCTGCCACCCTGCCCCGCCACCTCACCAGGATCATGTGTCCAGTTGAGATGTCCATGTTGGACTGGACGGGCTCCTCGCACCAGGAGGGTGTGCTGCTGTGGGAGCTGGGGCTGGGCTGCGGGGCATCGCTGAACTGGGACGAGACGCTGCTGACCCGCGAAGTCTCCGCCGGCGCCACCGGAGCCTCGGCACG